CAAAAGCACAAAATACGCTCACAGAAAACTGGTGTCGGTTGACACCGAAAACTAGTGTCTGCCGACACCACAAAAAACTGGTGTGGGTCGACACCAAAAACTGGTGTGGGTCGACACCAAAAACTGGGGTCGGTTGACACCACCAAACTGCACTGCGATCAACTGAATGGTGTCGATCGACACCCGCATGGTGTCGGTCGACACCCACACCCTGAAACTCATCCAACGACGATCTCAGCCACCAAAGAATCCTAGTAGCACCATCACATCACCTCCCACGATGACACAACCCAATAACAGTCACACAAGGCCACACAGACACCAGAAAACATCACAAACACAAAGAATTCAATTCACACATCACATAAACCCAAATCACTCAATCTTAACGCTTAGATAAGCCATGGTCACGCACTCACCTCTGATTTGGATTGGAAGGATGGATGAAACAGAGAAGAAGAACACTCCAACAACCTCTCTTCACACCCACAGCCACGAATCCCACTAATCCTTTGCTAGAACACTGAAGAACAGCCTCTAGAAATCCTCACAATCCTCACCTTAGCACCTTAGGAACAACTAACTCACAACCCTCTCTCTCTCTTTTGTTTACAAGAAGCGAAAAAGCCAAAAGTGAGAAAGAAAGGCTACATCTACGAGTTTAAAGTCGTGCCTAGGGTTTCTCCAATCAATTCCAAATAAACCGACGGTTTAAAAGCTAAACTCTCTAACCAATTTTGTTGGTGTCAATCGACATCCAAAACTAGTGTCGGTCGACACCACCAAAATTTCAGACACGGGCGTTACAGTTAACCACAAACCAATTTAATTTTTGTGGTTTTGAAGGCGAACGCACTATCCAAAGACCATTAATTCCATGTTTTGGTGCAATTTCGTTGTTTGCTAAATTGATCTGTATTCCAATTTAACTTAAGTCCTCAAGATTATTTTCAGTGATCCTTATATGGGCAAATTGTTGGTTTACTATATCAATGAGTTGTTCCAATACCAATTGTTCCGTTTAATCAAATTTTGATCTCTCTCTATGTACTAGTCAGTACAACCTATGACATAACTAAACTTAAATTGGTCCTGTAATGTTTTAGTTGTGTTGAAGGTTTAGCTTTGTTGCATATATGATTCTGGAATATATCAAGGAGTTAAAACTCTGTTCACACTTGTAAACGCTCTACAAACGTGAATGACTATGAATGACTATCAAGGATCTTACCTAAATGGGTTGTTGTCGATGAATAAGAATCCCAGCTCAGACAAACTTGTAAAAAAGACAATACATATATATTCAATGTGTGAATCTAATGGACATGGTATCAATCGAGGTGGTGGGTCGCCAAAGTGTGAGTAGTAACGATATTGTTCTTCATAGATTCTTGAGCAAAGAGTTGACAAATTCATATATAATACCTAAAGCTGAACTCGGTCACACACTGACAGAAGCGTAATGATGATATGTGCGAATGATTCCAGAATCTAAACCCATTCAAGAACAGCTAAATCATGTTTCAGAAACTAAATCCATCTTTTGTTGTGAATTAAGAAGCAAAAGTAGAAAGCTTATTGCTGCGTAGGTGTTGGATGCTGAAGTTATATGTTTGCCTTGGAGGTGAAGGAAGAACTTGTGAAATGGCCAGAGCAAAGATAACCATGAGATGAGATGGGTAAAAGCGCAAATCTTGCTTTTGTTTGTGTTTGACTGATAGGGGTATGTGTAGATCATCTACAGTAGATGCCACAGCTAAATGTTAAAGAAGCTTTCGAACTGTGTCCAAGTGGATACAGAGTGCTCTTGAAGAGTTTCTAAGAGTAATGTCAGCAGAAGGGACCACAAAGTAAGACATTCCCGCTCATTTCCAGCATTTCAAATAGCCTCAGTACTTAAATTATATCAAACTTCTGAAAACTGTGTTATATACTATTTAAAGAGCTTCTTCTTCTTCTGTAAACAAAGTTAAACACATGATAAGCAAATGATTTAAGACCCTGTGACTTGAATGTATTTCTCAAAAGTAAAGACAAAAACAGAGAGTATACTTATAATTCAGAGGAAACAAGATTTTATGACAATAATTAGAATCACTCATAGAGCCAATGCTAATCTCCCTCTGATGCTTAATTATTCCTTGTCTCCAATGGAATGTGTTTCTCTCGAATTGCCAAAAACTTTATAGAAAGAGTTCAATGGCCATGTAATAGCAGAGAAGCTTCAGCATCAAGGAACATGTAAGAAATCATGTAATGAATTTTTTTGGTTTAGTAAATTAGTAAATGTAAATTAAGGGTTCTGAATTTTGTTTGGTATAAATTGTAATAATATCGGTTTGGTTTAATTATAAGTTTCGGTTTAGTTAAATTGAGTCACTCTATTAAACGTTCATTAATAACTTAAACCGTGGACGTGAATACGTAAAACTAAATCCAGAAAAGTATCTTTTTCATTTACGAAATAGAGAGATGTTTCGAGTTTCGACCGTTTGGGTTAAAACCGAGAAACCTCTAAAATCACAGACACCGACCTTTGAGAAAATCTCTTTCTTTCTCTAATTGAGCCGTTTGAAACGCCACGGTCCTATTTCGAATTGTGAGAATTCATATATGTAAGAATGCATTGTACGATCGATCTCTCAAATTCAGATTGTGTTGTGTGGTTCTCTCTCTGCAACGACGACGATCGAGACGATGAAGACGGAACTCAGAAACGCTTGATCGTGAAGGATTCAAAACTCTAACATGTTCGTAACTCTGAACCTGAACCTCTCTTTTGTTATACTTTGGGATAGATTGTTTTACTCGGTCCTCCTTGAATCGGATTATTTTGTTGTTTAATATCTTTCACTCTGGTTTGGTTTAACTATCATGATCTTTGTTTCAGTTTCAAGTTTTGTTTTATCGCAACTTCTTTTGACTGAGATTTCCGATGCTTGATCACAGCTTTCGATGATTATGGATAATAAAACTGTTGATCGATCCTTGTCTCCCTAAATTTTACTTTAGTTGACATTCGTTTTTGTGGGATGCATATATGCAGAACATGGGAATGGCTTCTAAAGTATTGTAAGATCTCTCGACGACTGCTTTCAGAAATTGCCTAGGATGTGTTTGTAAGACGTCTTACTAAGTGTTTATTATTTTAAACTTGTTGGAGTTAAAAGAAGGCACCGCTTATAATTTATTTTGGACCTCGTTAGTTTGGCTTGCAACAACGGAACGATCCCAATGCATATTCTATAAGTATCTTTTACTTTAATTTATTTCTCTGAAATTGATTCATCCTTGTTTTTTTGGTGAAACAAGTTAACATTCTTTTTTGGAGAATATAGATTGCAGATCAGTGGATTGGCTTTGAAATGCATTGTACGATCTCTCAAGGTCAGCCTCTTTAACAATATTGAAGCTGCGGTTAGAGTTTACAGGGATGTCAAGACGAGGTGATGATTTCCAGATTATGAAAGCTGTTTCAATTGTATTAAAAAAAAGGCAATAGAACTAACACCATTCTCGTTTTCTATGTAGCTAAAGGATTGCTTGAAGCCTACAAAAATTTTGTCTGCGTATCAAGTAGACTGCTGCTCTAGGAGAAGATAACTAGACCATTTTGGAGGTAAGCAAAGTTGTAAAATTATCATCATATTCTATTGTCTTATTGTTATTTGAACTCTTATAGGTAAGTTGTGCCGATGAATTGTTTTCTTTAACTATATAGTTCTGAAGCATATCTAGATGATTAATTTTGGTTTAAGCTCATTAAAGGAAGTTATGTTCTGCTATCAAATCACTTTATTCCTTTTGTTTTAGATACTTCGAAGCATAGCTCCTATCCAGACTAAGATTTTCGTAGATGATGATTTTTAAAATTTTATGAATTTGTGGAGTCATTGATGATGATTTTGCAGATGAATAAAACTACTGCTTGCTTGCATGGGAGCTATCCCAGTCCATATTAGATAAGTTTATACATATTTTACTTAAACCACTCTCTGAATTTGTCTCCTCGTTTTACTCTCTTGGGAACAGTTAACAGATTGCAGATTATGGGAATTGCTTCAGGAACAACTGTATTGTATGACTTGCTAATACGGCTTGTAGGAATAAAATAAGGCACCGGTTATAGGTAGTTGGACCTTGTTGAGATTATTGCAGTATTCTGAAGCTTTACCTAGAGATTGAGGTATTGTAGAAATTCTGTAAATTTTGGTCAGTTAAACGTTCTCTCTTTGTCATAATTATGATACATAATGTGATTCCTAGACCTGTTAACGAAACTGCAATGCTGTATTGAAATTGCAGGATTTAAAGGGAAGCTAAAGGGTTAAAAGGTCATGTCTTCTACAAAACCAAAGGTTGATCACTATACAAAAAATTACTTGTATTTTATTAGAGTAGTGAGCCTTTGATCTTTATAAGCATAGCATTAGTATATGCTTTAAGCTTTTGTGTATGCATTAGAAGAAGCTGGCTTTTTGGTGTATAGCAACAGTGTTGCTGCAATATGCTAGGTAGATTCTTAGGTACGCCCTTTATTTTTGTATGCAAAGCTCTGGTTTCTTTCTGAGGTACGCCCTTTATTTTTGTAAGTTACTTAGAGCATCATTATAGGTAGATTCTTATAATGAGTATCTTAGCTTAAATTTAGAAATAAATTTGAAAAGGTAAACTTTAAGATATTTAATTTTGTTTTTAGTTTTGTAATGTGTTTATAGGTAGGATTTTAAGTTGGGTATCTTAGTATTTTTTTTAATTAAATAAATTTATAATTTGTAATTTAAGAAAATCTTATATTTATTGCAAATTTAGAATTTGAAAACATAAAAAAGATAGAAATTATAAGATAAGTTACAATAATTTTAAACTTGATTGCGAGAAAATTTTCTCCAAATATGCTCGACCAAATCGTTCTTCAATTTTTCATGCATATTTCGATCCCGAAGTCGAGTTCTATCGGTCATCATATCGACCAGATTTGAAGGCATATCTGTTTCATACTAGAAATCCACTCTTGTTCTTCCGGAAGTTTCTGGTTGTTCGAATTCAGTGACATCAAACTGAGTATACATATCTCGTTCATCTTCTACTATCATATTGTGAAGTATTATGCATGCCCGCATAATTTTTCCAATTCTTTCCTTATCCCAAATAAGAGCCGGATTTTTGACAATGGCAAATCGAGCTTGCAAAATTCCAAAACCACGCTCTACATATTTACGGCAAACTTCTTGCTTTTCAGCAAATAAAGAAGGTTTATCACCTTGTGGAAGTCGGATCGATTGGATAAATGTAGCCCATTTTGGATACATTTCATCTATCAGATAGTAACCCAAACTATACTGGTTTCCGTTGACTACATACTTGCATTTTGGTGCTCGTCCTTGTAAGATGTCATCAAAAACAGGAGAGCGATCAAGAATATTGATATCATTTAAAGTACCTGGAGGTCCAAAAAAGGGGTGCCATATCCAAAGATCTTGTGAAGCTACAGCCTCTAAAACGATCGTTGGTTTTCCCGAGGCTCGTGTATATTGACCTTTCCAAGCGGTTGGGCAATTCTTCCACTCCCAATGCATACAATCGATGCTTCCCATCATCCCGGGAAATCCACTTATCTCTCCAATAATGAGTAGCCTTTGAAGATCTTCAGCGGTTGATTTTCTTAGGTACTCATCTCCAAAGCAAAATATAATACCGTCAACAAAATGTTGCATGCATTTCATGGAAGTGGTTCCACCAATCTGGAGGTATTCGTCAACCGTATCAGCTGCACAACCATACGCAAGCATGCAAATTGCTCATGTACACTTTTGTAGTGGAGATAATCCTAACCTTCCGGTCGCATCTCTTCTTTGTGGAAAGAAAGGAATTTCATTGGTTAATCGATCCACGATACGCATGAATAAATGCCTATTCATTCTAAAACAACGTCGGAATAGATTAGGCGGGAAGATTGCATTTTCTCCAAAATAATCGTTCCCTAACCTTATGTGTCCTTCTTGACGATATCTTTCTATATGGACTCTTTTTTTTCTCGGTTTTCTTGGTTGTTGATGCTCCTCCAAAGAGTTCAAAGAATTATCAAATTCTTCTTGGAAAATATTATCGAATTCTTCATCCAATAGTTGTGAAAATTCATGATGAGATGATGATGCCATTGTGGGATATTTATTTGGTTTGATGTTTGAGAAAGATTTGTTGATGGTGGAAAAATAAGAAGGTCGTGTTGGTAGAAAAATAAGAAAGAGTTGTTGTTGGTGGAAAAATAAGAAAGAGTTGTTGGTAGCAAAATAAGAAAGTGGTGTTGTTCGTAGAAAAATAGAAATTGGTGTGAAGAGAAAGTGAAAGATAATAACCGATCGTAGTGAAAATAGAAATTTGTGTTACTAATATCACAAGAAAATGGTCTTATCACCACCATCATCTGCCAATGCATACTTGTTGTTTTCTTCTTCTAAAACAACACCCGTGAATGGTCCTACATACATAAGCACAAATGAAAAGTCAATAGAACACAGAAGATATCTTCTTTGTTGTCCTACGATAACACAACACATGACACATGCCCATTACACAGACCCATTACACATACACATTACACAAACAAAAACTTCCATTGATTCAACACATTACACAGGCCCATTACACAGACCCATTACACAGACACCTTACACAGACCTATTACATAGACACCTTACACAGACCCATTAAACAGACCCATTACACAGACACATTACACACCACATGACACAAACATAAACAGAGATTCAAAGCAATTACATAAAGTAGAGATTCAAAAGAAAATCTCTTTGATTAGCTTTGTTTTAAGCTCTTCCTCTTACTGAGAAAGAGGAAGAGATTTAGCTAGTAAAATGTCAAGCAATTTCTTGTTTGACAATTTATCATTCAAATCATGCTTTTGTTGCTTCAAGGCAAAGTCTTTTTCCTTTAGCTCCCACATTGTCTTCATTCTTTCCATTCTCTCCACTCCTCCTTTAGCAGTGACTGAAGTTGTCTTCTTGCCACTAGCCTTGGCAGCAGCCTTGGCTGCTTTCACTCCAGCTGGTCTTGCTTGAGAACCATGAGATTCTCCTTCAGCTTGAGAGTCTCCTTCAGCTTGAGTGTCTGATTGATCTTCATTTGAAACCATAGAAGATGAGTCAATCTTCCTTCTTTTGTTCTTTTCATCTCCTTTAGTAGCTACCATAGCACACCACTTCTGATCATATCTCAATTCTCTCCATCCATGCTCCATGGTGAAATTCTTCTTGTAATCACTCTCATAGATGAGGTGAGCTCGCTTAATAAGATCATCATCATTCATTCAACTTCCCATCTGACTTGATGCAGCCAGATGAGATCCAACAAACTTACATACAGACTCATTTATCTTAGCCCACCTTTTCTTAAAGTGATCTGGCTCTCTATGCTTGAAACCCACCATATTGGGACTTGCAGCAACATATGCTGCAATCCTCTTCCAGAAGGCTGTCCCTCTTTGCTCATGTCCAACAATACAGTCTTTGCTTGTGTTAAGACATGCAGAGATTAAGACTGTATCCTCTTTGACAGTCCATGCATTCCTCTTTCTTGGTGCACCCTTAGTAGTGAGGTTATCACCTTCACAAGCTGGCTGAGACCATTGAGTTGTGAAGACAACTTCTTCAGTTTCACCAAGTCTAATACTTGGTGATGGAGAGTCATAACTACTCGGCTGTTGAAGGCTAGGGGAATCATTTTGGCTGGTTAGAAGGTCCATGAAGCCAAGAGAGTTGGCATATGGATTCATCAAGAGAATCGGGTTGAGAAGGTTGAAGAGAATCGGGTTGAGAAGAGTTGGAGAGAATCGGGTTGAGAAGGTTGAAGAGAAAAGGGTTTGTGTGTTTATGTGTTTTAAGTTTTAAGTGTTTGAGTGTTCTTATTTATTGAAAGAGAATCGAGTTTGTGTTTTAAGTGTTTTAAGTGTTTGTGTTTATAAAAAACTTAGTGTTGTTTACAGTTGTGGATTCCATTAAATGCATTTATCACAAACATATACTACTTCCCTATCACCTATAAATATACAACTGTAAACACATAACACAGAATCATGCATTTATCATCTTGTACTATCCTACCACCAATCACTCAAGTCTCACCTAATGTTACACAAGTGATGTTTGATAATTTACTTACCAGGATTCAAGGCTCTACTCTGACTTCTCTTCTCTTATCATAGTAGATAACCACTCCTGCTATCAAACAGAGAACAACATCATCAAATTTAAACATAAAGTACAAATAACAATAGAATATTAAATATCCAAAAAGATTGGAAGTGAACACTTACCCCATTCATTCACTGGCCTCCTCTGACTTCTCTTCTCCTACCTCAATCCTCATATGTAGTCAAAGCATTTGATACAGCCTTGGCATCCCCAGACCTTGCATTAAACAAATATCAAACAATGAAATTCAAAAGCCAATAATACTCAAATAACATTTCAAACTTAAACATCTACACTATATTAATCACATTTAACCAAAAACGATTCAAATCTTCAAGAATACAATCCAACTCAAGTCTGAGTATACAAATATTTGATCTGATGACTTACCGGATTCAATCTATGGCCGGATCTTCTTACACTGTCTGCTCCTCTCTCAATCCCCATATGTAGCAGAACCAATCCAACTCAGAACCACTCCTCGCATAAAACAGTGGAGAATCAATCAATTTCAAAAGACAAACAGAAGTATTTTAAATTTGAAACCTAATCTATACCTAACATTCAACCAATAACAATTCAAACTCAGCACTACTATTAAGAGCCAACAGAGTCATAATCAAAAAATGAATCACACCAAAGAATTATAACAATCAGGTTTAACCAAGCTTTGTTTCTCAAAAAATAGAGACTTACAATACAGCCAAACACTCCACCATGTTAAAAATTACCCTAATTGTAGATTTATAAACGATTTACTCAAAATCCCCAAATCCCGAAACCCTAATTTCCCAAATCCGAAAACCCTAATTTGTAAATTCTCTCTATCGTTTCAATTCAACAAATCTGAAGAAATACATACCTTCTACTCTCGATTGCTTCTCCCCAAGCTCTGATTTCAAACAAATCGACCTGATTTTGAAACCGATTTGGATCTCCTTTCCCGATTTCTGTTTCCAACACCGACGAGAAGAACAACTGAAGGCCCCGGGACGACGGCCGGAGATGGTTGAGTCCAGCCGATTTATACCGAATCGAACGAATCGCCGATATCGTTCTTTCGAGAGAGAGAGAGAGAAAAGAAGAAAATTATGATAAATGATTTTTTTTAGCTTATATATTTACTACTATAACCAATAAACCGACGGTGTCCGCTTCTTTTGGCTGATTTTCGATCTTTTTTTCCTAAGTTTTCTGTATTTATGATTTAATTAAAACCAAATTAAACCCTAAGATCCACTAAGATATGCCCGATAAGCTTGCTCTTACGTCTTCCTAATCTAAACCTTCTTATATTTGGGAGACCTTTTACTCTTTATATCAGATATATTTCTTTGTTAACATCTCAGGTTTCGTAAGGCTTACAATTTTTTTTTTTGTTTGATTGACACGTGAACTGATTATCTCATATCTGTCAGAGAACCATAGCGGCGTATAAAAGGAATTCTCTCTCAGACAAACTCCTCCATAACTGAGTCAACTTGCCATAATAATCTTGCATCGTAAGTCCCTTTTGACTACAATTAGCGAGTTCAGCTTTAAGCCTTTGAACACGTTGGCCATTTTGGACTGAAAAACGTTGTTTAATATGTTTCCAGAGATCATGAGCATCCTCATGATTGGAGAGAGTCGTCCTGAGATTCTCATCGATCGTCAACTTCAGCCAAGAAATCACCATGGCATTGTTTGCGCCCCAATCTTCAAGATCCGCTGAATCGGGAGAAGGTTCTGGAATTGTCCCATCCACAAAGCCGAATTTCTTCCTCGCCATGAGAGCAAGACGAATGTTGGTAGACCACTCAGCATAATTAGGTCCACGAAGAAGAGGCTGAGAGATAACATTACTACGATTGTCTCTTGAAGACAAATCATACGGATCTATTGTACGACGTGTCTTATTTTGAACTCTAGCCATTGCCATCTCTTCACTCATGATACAAAACAAAACGATTTGCAGAGAAGATCTAGAGAGAAGAAGAAAAAAATGAAAACAAGATCAAGGATCGAAATAAACCAAAAAGTTTTGTATAATTTTGGCTTATGGCTTTGATACCATGTCAGAGAACCATAGCGGCGTATAAAAGGAATTCTCTGTTATTGATCATTAGCCAAGGAGGCTTAGTATATATACAAATGATAACCCTAAGCATATAGATAATAGAAAGACTAATATACCCAGAAATGTGTAAAGACATGTAACGGTTATATACAAACATATAACTCTAACAATATCTATTCTCAGTAATTTTTGATTGAATTTCCAGACGAAAAAACTGATTAGAAGTATGTATGTATGTAACTTTCTTTGATTGTTTTCTTTAGTATGCAGTTCCAGAGAACTTTCAATGATTGATTTTGTTTAAAGCTCCTAAAAGAAGTTTTATTTATGTTATGTCCAGCTATCAAATAACTCGATTCCTTTTGTTTTGGATACCACAAATCATAACTTTAGGCTTTAGTAAAACTACTTCATGTACACAAAGCAGCGATCCTAGTCCACATTAGATAAGTTTCTATATCTAAGTTAATTTACTCAGAGTTTGGCACATTCTTGTATTTTGGAGAAAAGTTAACATGCATTTTTGGGGGATCCATATTGCAGATCATGGGAATGGCTTCTAATGCATGGTAAGATCTCTCAAGTACATCCTCTATATTGTTCTTTCTGTACTTTAGTTAAGATGCAGTTTGTGATGCTTAGATTTGTTAACGAAATCTTAAAGTTGAATTCAAATTACAGGATTTAAAAGTATCTTTCGAAAGCTAAGGTGCTACTGTGTCTTCAGAAAAGAAAAAATCTGATTCCTTTCTCAGTTACGCCCTTCTATTTCGATTTCCAATCTTCATTTCAGGTGTTATTTAGACACACAACATCAATTATGCGAACTAAGGTGTATTGTTTGCTGAGTTCTCATCCCTAAAACATAAGCAGTAATGGTATTCGTAGCAGCTATTAGGTAATTTGAAAGTCTAACGTTTTGGTGTCTCTCTCTCTTTTCTTTCTTTTCTAAACAGTTTACCCTCGAATTTGTGTTCATATACTTTGTTGTAGGTTTTTGGGTATCCTGAAGCAAAGGTTGAATGTCCCACCAGCTCTCAACCAGTTGACTTAGACACTTGAGAAAATCTTACACCTTCTCTATTCTTCTTGGTGCTCTGTTTTTTATTGCCCTTAAGCTATTTAACCCAATGATTGAATAATTGAGGAAAGCTGGAGTTCAGCAAAAGCCTGGATGCCCTATACAGTATAAAGGTGAGATTAATGATATTTTACATTGTGTTTTAGGATGTGTTCTATATTTCTGTAGATTAATGATTTCAAATGGCAAATCTGTTATATTTGGGGAGACTGTTTTACTCTTATATCAGATATATTTAGTTGTTAATATCTCAGGTTTATCAAGGTTCACAATTACAAGGTTTGTTTGACACTTGAACTGAGTATCTCAATCATTTTTGATTAAATTTGCTGACTAAAAACTTGTTAAGGCATTTTTTGTATATATTGTATAATGGTATAAATTTCTTTGTCTTCTTTAGAGTTCCGAAGAACTACAGATGACTAATTTTGTTTAAAGCTACTTATAAGAAGTTTTTTTGTATGCTATGTTCTCTTGACTCATTTTGTTTTTGTTTTAGATAGTACGAAGCATAACTTAGGCTACTATCTTGGGATGAGATTTTGATGGCTTTGCAAATTTTCATGGATGATGATTTTGCAGATGGATAAAACTACCGCTTGCTGGCAAGGGAACAATCCCGGTCCATATTTGATAAGTTTCTATACCTTTGACTTAATTTACTTTAAATTGATTCATCCTTGTTTTTATGGAGAAAAGTTAACATTCTTGTTTTTCGGATGTAGATTGTAGATCAGTGGAATGGCATCCAAAGCATTGTATGATCTCTCAAAACAGCCTCTATAACAATGTTGAAGTTGCGGTTAGACTTTACAGAGACGTCAAAACGAGGCAATGATTTCCAGTCATGAGAGCTGTTTCATTGTAAGACTAAGGCAATAAAACTGACAGCATTCTCGTTTTCTAGATAGCTTAACGATTGAAATTTTGAACCCTATAGAAATTTTGAAATTTCTAGATAGCTTAAGGTAAGGTAACTTTTACAAGAGTTTGGAAATTTTGTAAGGTTGAGATCTCATTTCTAAGAGATCCGTTGTGGGAAACTATATTTCCTGAATATCAACAAAATGTGTAACTTGCATTTTGTATTTCCTTTGACGTAAACAAAAATAACTATCGACTATTTGTTCTTCTGGATTTTACAGTACTGGGCTGGCGCAGATCATGACATTGTAAGATCTCCCAAGAACTAGTTGGAGTTGACAGAGACCTTGGGATTCGACCATTATTGTCTATTTTCTTACTATTTGAAATCTTGACGCGAAGTTGTGCAGATGAATCTTGAGTACAGGTTGCAAAGTTGAAAGAAGAAGAGTGGAAGAACATGTCTGCGTAACAAAAGGCTCCCTAAGAAAAGGTCTTTTCCCATATCAATTGTGAGAAAAAATGAAAAGTTCAAAAACCAAATTTCTAACTCTTGTTTTCATATTATTAAATAAGGAGAACTATATGAATGGACTTAAAAGGTTGAAAGTAAAAGAAGCCATGAAGGAGAAGAAGAGGCTTTCCAAACCCTCAAAAAGAAAGAAAGAAAAGACCAACAATGTCATTAAGGTTAGTAATTTATGGTAGTTGGAAAACATTTTGGGAAGCAAGTCGATAATAATAACACAAGTAAATCAGGTTTTTTTCAAGAAAACGACGAGGCAAGAGATAAGTTTCGAGAGGAGCTCTCATTCTCTTAATTAAATCTAAAAAAATGAAGAAATACAACGATCCTATTTATTGAACCTAAAAGCAAAAAGAGAAAGGAAAAAAAAAATTTCAAATCTAATTAAACTCTTCTTAAATTACATAATAATGATAACACAACAAACATGTTATCCAAATGGATTACAGACCAAAGTAAATCATAGATAAGACCTTACATCAATTTTATTTATCTTATGTGTCCTCGTTTTGTTTACCTTTCATTTTCCAATGTGCCTTCTTTTGTGTACTAGCTAGCTTGAAAACGCTTTTTGCGTTATGAGACTAGTGGGTGCGTTCTATCTCATAAAGCTGCTCTAGGGAATTCGTTTAGTCCATAAGGTGTATTTTCTCATAGTCAAGCTTTTCTTATGCTTAAATCATACCAATGGGGCATAAATAGCTTTAGTATATATTGCTTCGTAACGTAGTGAAAGGGGTTAAGCCTATGTCACTATTTCCATCGAAATCAGCATTCGTGGCCAGCAAGATCCTTTTCCATTAATGGTAATCTTGAGTTGAGTCCCAAGAAAATAATTGTTGAGTTTTCTAAGGTTTCCAATCAATCAAGTAAAGCCACATTACAAGATCCTCTACAAGTGACTCACCTTATTTCATGATGCTACATGGTCGCAAGAGCATATTCGTGCACAAGAGGGATTGGAGATATTAGTAACATTCAAGATATCAAAAATCCAGGATGAAAAGGATGGAGAGACTACAATACGAAACTCTTATGATGCTCAAGTCGTGACAAGCTACAATAATGATGCGTTCAGCACAACTAACTTCCATCACAGAACAAGACAATTGGCAAGGGTAAATGGATTCAATGAGTCTGACATTGACCAAAATCTTTTTTGTCCTCACACTGCTCACTGGTATAATAGACATGTGTATCCTCGAGATTTTGTTGAAGAAATATGACAAATGCTTTTGGGCTTACATGATCAGTACGCGTGGCCCCGTTCCAACTGTGACCATCCAATCTACCGAGTTGAAGGGACAAGATACCAAGTTAGGTATTTCATCCCTAGCCATGGAATCTCCTTTATGCATGATGCCTCCAACAGTGAAGAAGAATATGACAATGGATAAGATGGAAGTCACTTCTCTTTTGGAGACAGGGGGAAATGAAGTAAAATATTGATGTGAAATAAATAAAGACATGAAGTGAAGTGTTGATGTAAAATAAAGGTATGAGAAGTGGTGTGAAGACTTGATCAATGGTGTGTATGATATGATGTGAAATAAGTGGTGTGAAGACTTGATGAATGGTGTGTATGTTATGATGTGAAATAAGTGATGTGAAGACTTGATGAATGGTGTGTATGTAAATATGTGTGAAAGGAATATGCTATGTAATATTCCTTAAGTCATGTACTATAAATACCAAGCTTGGTGAGGTTTGTTGACCATAAGCTAAAGTATCTAAAATACTAAGTCCTAAGAGTCCTTTGTATTATCTTGAGTGTGTTTCTTGTATAATAAAAGCTTTCTCTTATATACATTCTCTTCTATAAACACTTAGTCCCTTTCATATATTTGTTTCATATACTTCGATCCTATAATTCCTCCTACGTGGTTGTACCCACTATGTGTCTGTAAATTTGTATATAGAGAGCATGGATCTTGTTGCATCAAAGTTCTGAAGAGGCAACAAGTGCATCATTCAGCTAGGATGACAAAAATAATTGGTAATTAAAGTGATAAAAATAAATTACCAAAACTTGGGAAGATAATACACATGACTAAAATAAAATATTAGATTTATAGTTTAAAATAAGTTTAAAGAAATACATGACATACGATATTAAACATATTATTAGATTCAAAGTTGGCCTTAACCATTTGGACATCTATCTATATATCTTATTATATAAAGTTGGTTTTTTAAAAGTTATCCATTTTGCGTGACATGTGTTAATTGAACTGATAAAATTTTGACAAATGTCAGAAAATTAGTGGTAAAAGGTATATAAATTATTTTTCAAACAAAGAATATTTTCAAAATAGAAAGAAGAAAATGAAAATTCCGGAAAATTAACAAATACTTAGTAGTAATCTCCTAAGGCAAAAAGGATACTAATTGTAAAACAAAATAGTAAGAAAAATTTGAGAATTTTTGAGAAATGCCCCTTTTGGTCTACCCTTTTTAAAAATACTTCTCTTTTCTATCCGTTTTTAAAAAATTCCCTTTTCAAATATGAAAAATTATAAACTTTTATATGGTTGATAAGGTACATCAAGATCATCATTACTACTGTGAGACTAAATCCAAATATTTATAAGGTTTTGAGAGGTTCTAAACGGCATTTAAAAGGTTTTATAAGATTTTTAAAAGGTTTACAAAGTTTTTATAAGGTTTTAAAATGATTTTAAAAGGTTTTTAAAAGGAATTTATACGGTATTTATGAAATATATATATGTAAATTTACACACATATAAAGATAATTTGTGTCTATAAATATAAGCTTATAGATATTTTTTTGACCAATTTTATAGTGACTTTTTGATAAAATTAGAAAGAGGAGTATTTTAAAAAATTTATATTGGAAAATGATGTATTTTTGAAATTCCCCCTAAAAATTTATAAATATAAGGTCTAAAACAAAAATTAAGAAATAAAGAAAAAAATATAGAAAATTAGTCAACTATAAGTTAATCTTAGAAAATATTTTCATTATCGTGAATATTATTTAATATTTAAATATTTTCATTTAGAAAGTTAATCTAAATAAGTTAGTCATTAACATGATCGTGACATGTGTCAATTGTATCGATAAGATATTGACATGGGTAAATTCAAGATACATATATTAAAAACATTTTAATATTAAATTAATAAACTTATCATAAAGAAATTATCATGTAACAATCAATTAGTTTTAAGAAGTACGATAAATTGCGTAGTCAAAAATATATGCGAGAATAGTTTTTTAAAATTCTGGAGGTTAGGAAATAACATTTTATTTAGAATAATGGTATAATCATGTTTATGGTATAATTGCAAAATTAAGTCTACAATATATATTGTATATCAATTGATATAATCAGTTTAATGTTTAATTACATTGCGCAGTCAAAAATATATGCGAGAAAAGTTTTTTTTTTTAAAAGCAGGAGGTTAGGAAATATCATTGAGAATTTGAGAAATATCCCTTTTGATGTACCCCTTTTTAAAAATACCCTCTTTATATTTCCATTTTCAAAAATACATCTGTTTAAATATAGAAAATTATAAAGTTTTATATGTATTATAAGGTACTTCTATATAATAACTACTACTGGGAAATTCGATAAATATATTATATAATATTTTAAAGGGAAACTACAATGCATGTACCCAATTAAAAAAAATTAAATTTTCATCTCCCATCAAATTTTATTTAGCTTCTAATTTTGCAGAAAATTGTCTCTCTGTAGCTATGTGTAATAGAGTAATAGAGTAGCCCATTGAATCTATAACTGAACCGAGAAAAACTCATAAAGAGATCTTTGCTCTTGCTTTTTTTTTTCTCTTCAGAAAAAACATAAGCAAAAATGGTTTTTGTATTCCAACCATCGCCTCCTCTTTTTGATAAAACATCAGAGCTTCGAGATTTTGAGGTTGGTATTAGTGTTTATTTTTCTTTCCCATATCTGTTGTGTTCATATCTCCAATGGTCATATAAATTTTTTCGAGTAGTTTCGCTCTTGATCTTAAAAGAACCAAAGCACCGATTGATTCTTTTTATCACCGAGAATTTGATTATTTTTTCTATCATTGGATGACATTCGAAAGGTTCGTATTTTATGTTAAATGTTTGGATATTTCAAAAAAGCTTTGGATTTTTAAGAGTAGCAGAGATGATATTTACAAACAACAGATGATATCTACAAACAACAGTGGTGGTGATTATATTAATTACCAACGATGGTGAGTTGGGGATGGGGGAGGACTGAGGTGGCGTCACCGGAAGTAGAGCAGATGGAGATGGAGTTGTGGGGTGATATGATGTCATTGAAAGTTCAGCCGCTAAAGGGTTGATGGTGATGGAGTTAAAAATTGTTTTGATTTAATTGTTTATGATTGTGTGTGTGTGTTTAGTTGGAGCGAATTGATCCGTGGATGGAATGGAAGAGATGTGAGTTCTCAATTCTATTGCAGAACACAAGGTTGCTTTGGTTTTGACGAAGACAAAATAAGCCAAAAAGTGAATTTAGTTAACATGTATCAAAATAATTATCCATATTTATAAGGAGTATAAGGAATAACATATATTTTAACATATAAGCCTATTGACAACTCCTTATTTATTGTAACGCCCGTCTCCTGTTTTGGGAGGTGTCGATCGACACCACCGAAGGGTATCGCTCGACACTAGCATGTTTCGGTTTGATCAGTTCGTTTTTAATTGCAAAATCGTGTGGTTATTGGTTGGTTTAATCTAAGTTGCGTTTAAAAAAGGAAAAGGTCGACCTAGGGTGAGAGTAGCCGCTTTTGTTTCTTCTCTAAAGTTCTAAGTTCTCTAGAGAGGTTTTGGGAGGTTTGAGAGTGGTTGGAGGCTTGTTCTGGTGTTTCTGTTCTGTGGAAGAGAGATCTCGTAGCTGTGGTGTTAGGAGAGTCTTTGGTTGCTGTTTTTGTGATCTGTTCGTCCTTGTTTCAGTCCTTTTGAAAGGTGAGTGCATGACTAGGCTGATCTAAGCAGTTTTTGATGCATATTTTGAGTGTTTCCTCTGATTGATGATTGATTTCTGTGTTTGTATGCTTGTTTATGTGGTATGGTGTCCTGGTACGAGTCTGGGGAGGTGATAGATCGGGCATGGAGTACTGGAGTTGGTGGATCCGTCGATGAGAAGCGGCTGGATCGATGTTAGGGTTTCAGTGTCGCTCGACACCAATGGAGGGTGTCGATCGACACCAACTTTCTTTCTCGCGAGGATGGTCGCGAGTGTCGAGCGACACCAGCGGATGGTGTCAATCGACACTACTAGTCAGAACGGATCACGTTGTGTTGTTTTGTGTTATATTGGTGGTTGTTTGAGTTAATACTTGGATGTGTTCATTTCTGCTTGTGTGTATAGCCAGTGGTGGGATGATTGCCTCACTAAGTATTTATGAAATACTTATGCATCTCTTTCTTGGATGCAGGTAAAAGCAAAGTGTGATCCGTGGAATCATGGCGAGGAGAGGAGGATGATCTAGCCGCTCATTGGTGTTTTAGATTATTGTTGTATTTGTTAGGGTGTTAGAATGGAATTTAGAAACCTGTTAGGATGATCATGCTTTGGAATAATGTTTGGTTGAACTTGTTGGTTTAATGGAATTGTTTTATTGGATTTTTGGTTAAGTCTTCCGCTGGTTAATATTGTTGGTTTACTTTAATGAGATTGCTTGGTTTAATTGATTTAAATTATTATGGCCGGTTTAGCTGGTTTGAATTAATTGGATTAATCCGGTTTGCATGTTTAAAAGGAAAAAAAATGGGATGCGTTCTTTCAATTTGGTATCAGAGCCTTTACGGTTCTAGGATGAGTTTAGTTGGTAAAAGTTGTGATGTGATGTGTGAATTTCATTGATGAGGAATGATGACGTGGATTGCATGCTGGTTGATTTGTGTGTTTAATCAATTGTGTGAGCATGGAGACTTAGATCATCCTCTCGAGCCTTCAATGAGATTCCACGGTAAGTTGTGTGGTTTGGTGATTTGTTTGGTGTTCTTACCCTTCTGTTGTGTTCCAGATGGTTAGAGGTGGAGCTGTCGGTCGTGGTCGTGATCGTGGTAGGGGGCGTGGTGTTGCCTCGGGTAGTGACACGAGTGTGGGACGGAGTGCTACGGCCGATTTTGTTAGCGAGTCCCAGTCGCATCAGGAGGGGCACGTGGGTGGTGTGAATGTGAGTGCCGTGGGAGCCGGTTCGTCCAGGAACGGTACTATTGTTGTTGGAAACCCGGTTGGAGGTGTTCCAACAGGCGGATTTGCTGACGCAGCTCTTGGAGCGGTTACCGGGTGCGGTATCTCCGGTGCTGGCTCCTGTTGAGCCTGGGGTGCAGGTTTCTATTGGGCCTGAGTTGCAGGCTCCTGTTGGACCTGAGGTGCAGCCTCCTCTTGGGCCTGGTGTGTAGACTGTTGGGCCTGGTGTGCAACCTGTTGTTGGGGTTGTACCGCCTGAGGGGGTAGGTGCAGTGGTCGAGCAGCCGTATTACCTGTGGATGTTGGAGCAGCTGCAGCGGTTCGGGATGTCTTTGTTCTTTGGAGGCTTCAACCCGGCTGTAGCAGATGAGTGGCGGGTGCGATTGGAGCGGTATTTCCAGTCGATGAAATGCCCGAAGACATATCTGGTGGACCTACCGGCCTACTACTTGGCGGGTGATGCACATTTGTGGTGGAGGAGTGTGCTGGCCAAGAGGGGGCAGGGAGTGGCAGAGTTTAATGCCAAGTATTTCTCGGCGGAGGCATTAGACCGGATGGAGTCGCAGTTTTTGTCGTTGACTCAGGGCGAGCGGTCGGTGCAAGAGTACGACTCGGAGTTCAGCCGACTCCTGGTGTACTCGGGGCGTGCGGGAGATCCTGAGCAGATGCAGGTGCGTCAGTTCATGAAGGGTCTCAGCCCTGGCATGAAGGTGCGGTGCAAGGTGCGGGCCTATGCATCGCGTGTGGAGCTGGTTGAGGTGGCGGCAGGGATCGAGGACAAGTTGAGGAGTCACAGGGTGATTCCTAGTCCGTCGGTGCAGCCAAAGAAGACCCAACTGCAGTTGGTTCCGAGCTGAGGTGGCAAACCTGCTCAGGGATAGAAGAGGAAGTGGGATGACACTTCCTAGGCGAGTTCAGGTGACCGGAAATGCTTCAGGTGTAGGAGCACGGATCACAGGGTGGCGAGTTGTCCAAAGAAGGGTGAACCGTGGGTGGATACCCGTGTCTGTTACCACTGCAGAGAGACGGGGCACATCAAGACGAGGTGTCCTAAGTTGCAGAAGATGGCGGTAGCAGCGGTGCAGCCGGTGATGTAGCCAGTGGTGCAGCAGTGGGTGCAGCCATGATTGCAGCTGGCAGGGCAGTCTTTGGCTCAGCTGGGAGCACCGCTGGTGGCAAAGATGGAGGGATCGAGGGGGTATACGACCGTGGAGACAAGAGAGGCAAGCACTGGACGGGCGATCACAGGTTTCATTATAGTCTCAGTCTGTTTCCTTCTGTTGTTTTCGAATTTGTGTTGTTTTCCTGTGATTTTGGGGTGGGCGGTCTTAGTGAAAAGGGTTTGTATAGGGACCCTGTTAGTGGGCGGGTTCTTGTCCCACGTGATGTTTGATTTTGGAGCTACGAGTAGCTTCATTACCCCGGAGTGCGCGGCAGGTGGTAATATCCGAGGAGATTCCGATGGTTGTTTTTGGAGCCGTTAGAGTTGCAGGAGGCGATTTGCTAGCGGTTCAGGGACGGGCTAGTGGTGTGGATGTACATATTGCGGGTGAGTCGATGCCGGCAGATCTATACATTAGTCCGGTGGAGTTGTATGATGTAATTCTGGGCATAGATTGGTTGGAGCGGCATAGAGTTCATCTGGATTGTCACTGGGGAAGGGTCTATTTCGAGCGGCCGGGACCGAAGATGTATTACCAGGGTGTGAGATCGATTTCGGGGAGTTTAGTGATTTCGGCGATTTAGGCGGATAAGATGATCCGGAAGGGGCGGGAAGTTTACTTGGCGACAATTGTTATGCCAGAGACGGTCGGAGAGGTAGCAGTGGATAAGATCCGGGTGGTCCAGGAGTTCGAGGATGTGTTTTAGTCATTGAAGGGGTTACCGCCATCTCGGTCTGATCCCTTCACGATTGAGTTGGAGCCCGACACAACGCCGTTGTCTAAATCTCCGTACCGGATGGCTCCAGCGGAGATGGCTGAGCTGAATAAGCAGTTGGAGGATCTGTTGGGTAAGGGTTTCAGCCGCCCTAGTGTTTCACCGTGGGGAGCACCGGTGTTGTTTGTTAAGAAGAAGGATGGGAGTTTCCGGCTGTGTATCGATTACCGGGGACTTAACCGAGTCACGGTGAAGAACAAGTACCCTTTGCCGCGGATTGACGAGTTGTTGGATCAGTTGAGGGGAGCTACGTGGTTCTCTAAGATCGATTTGGCGTCGAGGTACCATCAGATTCCTATCCACAAGGAGGATATCCGTAAGACGGCGTTCAGGACGAGGTATGGGCATTTCGGGTTGACCAATGCACTAGCGGCGTTCATGAGGCTGATGAACAGTGTGTTCCAGGCGTTTCTGGATGAGTTTGTTATCATCTTCATCGATGATATTCTGGTGTATTCTAAGAGTCCTGAGGTGCACGACGGACACTTGCGGGCAGTGTTAGAGAAGCTGTGGGAGCAGAAACTGTATGCTAAGCTTAGCAAGTGCAGTTTCTGGCAGAGAGAGATGGGTTTTCTAGGTCATATCGTGTCTGCAGAAGGAGTTTCTATGGATCCAGAGAAGACTGAGGCTATCAGAGATTGGTCTAGACCGCAAAATGCCACATAGATTGATACAAGACTCGGTGGTGAGCTTGCATTAGGATAGTTATGATGGCTTCACAAGATGGCGGTCGCTTCTCTCTTGTGAAGGAATGATGGTCGTTGATGTAGATCTGACACGATGGTGGTCGCTTCTCTCGTGTGGGATCGAATGAAGGGGAAGTGTTGGCGGATTGAAGTACACCACATAGATGTGATTGGTCTCTGATACAGTACACGATCTTAGCCTTGTGGAATCACACACACAAGACGAAGAACAAGCTTATTCTCTTAAGGACACTTAAAGAGAAGAAGTGAATAAAGTTCGGTTCTTTATTGATAATCAAGGGTGAAAAATTGTATAACTGCTGCAGGGGGACTTTATAAGAGTCCATCAGTTAGCCCTAAGGCCAAAAATAAATGCAAAAAAATACAAAAGGAAACAAATAAAAAGCAAACACAAAACTCATTGTTTTTGGAAAGAAAATGACAAAATAAAGAAACTACTTGTGCACACTTAAACTCACTTGAAAGGCACGTATTCTAGCCGTTGTTGAGGCTTAGTGGACCTGCAAATATCAAAAATACTGAATAGAACTTACCTGGATGCGATCTAGGCGCAATCGATGTTCTGTGAACTACGTCTTGATCTACTTCAGGGGTCTTGTCAGGTGCATGTTTTTTGTTGGTTTCTTGAAGTAGATGGTTTCTTGGAGTTTCTCTTGGGTAGCTTGATCATTCTCTTGAAGCTCTTCCAAGTCCTTGATGTCTTGTTCTTGATCTTCACTCTCTCGATCACTCTTGAAGGTGAAGCTTGTTTTGCTCGTCTCTTGTGACTCCATTGTCTTCTCTTGGATTCTAGAGGTTTCTTGACCTGTCAAAGGAGAATTCATATCTGGGGAAATGGTATGTTCAAAACTCATTTGGGTGAATGCTTCAGAAAGCTCTTCCTCCACGATGGGATCATATCCGTCGTGATGGAGTAAAGGTGGTATAGACCAGTTGACGTAGTTCAGCTCTAGTGAGCTCACAATGTCTTGTACAGCTAGATTGAACCTCTTTCTAAGTTGTTTAGACTTTGAACGAGTCATGTGACCTACTGGGACGACTGGTACATGGTGTGGTACAGGATCGGGTACTTGATCTAGTTCAGCGGGTTGGACAGGATAATCGATGTCCGCATCATTCCCTCCCTCTTCAAAAGGTTTTACCCTCAAAACTGAATCTCCTGGATCATAAGCAGACAAGTCAGCAACATTAAAAGTATGAGAATTTTTTTGGGATTGGCGAGTTACTACAGACGGTTTGTGAAGGGCTTTGCCAACACAGCTCAGCCGATGACCAAGCTGACGGGGAAGGATGTTCCTTTTGTGTGGACTCCTGAGTGTGAGCAGGGTTTCGCTCAGCTCAAGGAGATGTTGACGAGTACGCCGGTTTTGGCTTTACCGGAGCAGGGAGAGCCGTATGTGGTGTACATGGATGCTTTGGGAGTTGGTTTGGGTTGCGTGTTGATGTAGGAGGGTAAGGTGATCGCCTATGCTTCGCAGCAGTTGCGGAAGTATGTGGGCAACTACCATACGCATTATTTGGAGACGGCAGCGGTAGTCTTTGCTCTGAAGATTTGGAGATCTTATATGTATGGAGCGAAGGTTCAGGTGTTCATAGATCATAAGAGTCTGAACTATTTATTCACGCAGCCTGAGTTGAACTTGAGGCAGAGGCGCTGGATGGAGTTGGTTGCAGACTATGATCTGGAGATAGCTTACCAACCCGGTAAGGCTAATCTGGTTGCAGATGCTCTGAGCAGGAAGCGGGCGGCTTCAGCTCGAGGGCAGGATATGGAGACCTTGGTGGGAGAACTTAGCACCTTGCGGTTATGTGGTATTTCTCAGGAGCCACTAGGGTTAGAAGCAGCTAACTGAGCAGACCTTCTGACCAGAGTTCGAGCGGCTCAGAAGAAGGATGCAGGGCTGGTTAATGCTTCTAAAGATACTGAGTCAGAGTATCAGGTTGCAGCCAATGGTACTATCTAATATGATCTCCCTAGGATAGAACTCCGATTAAGGCTGAAGATGGGTGATATGCGACGTGATCTGGTTGATGACGATGGACGATGGCTTTGAGTGATGATGTGTGAAGATCGAATGATGAAAACAATGGTTCAATGGAGATAGATTTTAGGTGGTTGTATGGATTGGATCAAGTGAAGAGTTTCTAAATCACAAAGTGTATAGAAACCCGGAAATCTAGAACGCATTCAAGAATTCAAATTGAGAGAAAAAGTGTGACAATACTTGTTCATACAACTTCTTCGCTAAAAGAGAAAAGAGGCGTAACTTTAGGTTTTAAACACCCTAGGGCTCGACACTCCAAACAACAAGAAGTTCAAAACCAAAACAACAAGACGTTTTAAGGAAATAATAAAAACAGCAAAATGTCTCGACGACCTGTAGTAGTACAGAAGTCGGCTGAACTAGTACAGAAGCTTGACGACCTGTAGTAGTACAGAAGTACATTATTCCCCCTTTGGTAATGACTTATAGATAACTCGACGTAGTGATCCATTTGCCTCATTAAAAACCATGCTGAGAAAACCCATTGGGACAAAACTCAGCTATGGGAAAAAGAGTACAAACTTCTCACCTAAGTTACCTAGTCCTCATTACCGGGTGAAGTCTTCAGGTTAGATATGTTGAAGACTTGGATCCTTGGTAGGTTGAATGAACCGTCAACTATGAGTGAGTGTGCTTCCTTGGCCATCTCCTTAGCTCTTGAACGAGTGATCCTTCCCACCATCTCCGGTTTCTCGTTAGCCTCTGGCTCCGTGCTGGCCACGGTCATATCATCCTCCCCCTCTTCAAAAGGATTTGTCCTCAAATCGGAATCTGCATAGCAAGGAAGCAAGTCAGAAACATTGAATGTTGATGATATATTATACTTACCTTGAAGATCAATCTGGTATGCGTTATTATTGATCCTCTTGATGACTTCAAATGGGCCATCAGCTCGTGGTAGGAGCTTGCTCTTCCTCTCTTCTGGGAACCTATCCTTGCGTAAATGAATCCACACTAAGTCTCCTTCTTCAAAAATGAGCTCCTTTCTGCCCTTGTTCGCATGCTTCTCGTACTGCTTGGTTCTTTTCTCTATATTCTGCTTAGATTTAGCATGTATCCTCCTGACCTGTTCAACCTTTTCTTTGCCATCAAAGCTACACTTTACACTTAAAGGTAAAGGAATCAAGTCTAGCGGTGATTGTGGGTTAAAACCATAAACAATTTCAA